TAGACTCAGAAGATTCTTTGCCTTTAGAAGAAGATCTATTAGTGAAAGAACCTCTAGAAATAGTGCCAGAGCTAGAAGAAGGAGTGATGGAACCAGAGGTACCACGAATGGATCCTAGGCCACGAAGCCTACCTCCTCTACCTCTTCTGTGTCTCACAGGGGCATTGGGAAAACTGTCAAGAATTGGGACTCTCCTAGCGTTGGGATTTGAAGATGACATGGTAGAAAGATGTGAACAGAGAAAGATGTGAACAGAGAAAGATGTGAACAGAGGAAGAAGTGAATAGGAGTAAATAGTGAAATATTTGGTAAAAATTTGTGGAAGAAGGGTTAAGTTTATATATAAAAGCGACCGTCAAAGACTAAGAAGTGTAATGATGAAAAGCCTATAATAAAGGCAACTATCACTTCGTGAATAGCGGAGTTAAAGAAGCCTTGAAAAAAGGCTGCAGAATTGCAGAGCTAATGAGAAGGTGACACGTATGCAATGCATTAAATAGAAAAGACAACTGAAGCGTTAGTACTGTCATAGCATTGATTATGGCAAAAATTCCCTTTTTAATGAAGATTCACTTCCCAAATATTTAATTGATAAATAAATGGAAAGTGGGGGGACTATCTGTATTGGGAAAAAATTGAATTTAAATATTGAAGATGACGTGTCATGACACGTGGACCGGTCAAATAGTCAAAGCGTGGTAATCAGTTAGAAGGCACGAGCAACAACAGATGCGGGAGAGAAGATACTTAAAGGCACGAGCTATTATTCAAATGAAACGAGACTCGTACTTGTTCGAGTCATTTAAAGCTCGAAGATCAGAAGGAATTGAAGACATGAATCTGATAGCGTAAAAGAGTCCAAATTCAGCATTAAATGCCAAATACGTTAGAGAATTTGTATTTAATAGGAATGATTGAGTAACGTTTCTTTTAATGTCATTTATTGCTCGTAATTGCCTCATTAAGACAAAGGCATTACACTTTCTCTTAGAATTAACTATAAAAGGAGAAAGTCACAACATCTGTAGGGGAGACACGAAAATATCATTGAGATTATACTGAAATATATACTTATTCATTGCTTTATTGTTGTTCCTAAAGTCTTTCATTTCTTGATTATCAGTAACCCGATTTCTCTCTTAAATTCTAACTTTAACCAAATATTCAGTTTCTTGGTTAAACAGTGATGAAAGGGATTCTGTTTGTCCCAGTTGTCCCATTGTTTTGCTAAAGATATATGGAGAATGAACGGTCGGAAGGCATTTTTCTTCTTGAGAAAAATAGTTAAAACATTTGCACATCGACACCCTTATTACAAAGCCTAGATTCCTTTTCGAGGAAAATGCAACAAAAACAATAGCGTAAAAGTTTGATAAATGCATTTTAAGATAAGTGAAAAGCTATCCTATAACAGATCCGATCCTTGTTGAAAATTATAAGGCAGGAGAATAAAAATATGGTCCCTTCTGAAGCGCATAAATCAAACAAAAGAAAATTTCATATTTGGCTAAGCAACAAAGAAGGAAGGAAATTGAGAAAGCGAGAGGAAGTGAGCCTTTAGACTACAACCAAATAAAAACCTTTTGTCTGTTCTTTCCACAATTTTGGTTCTGTGCAAACACAAAATCTTCTTTGGACTCGGGGAAAATTGCTTCTTCAACTTATTCGTAAAACATGGTGAAGAAAAAATTGGTGTCATCAGATAAGATAATAGCTACATGTGTTATATACAACAACAATAACAGTAACAACAACTATCTAGTAAAATCCCACATAGTGGGGTCTGGGGAGGGTAATGTGTACGCAGACCTTACCCCTAGCCCGACAGGACATTGAGGCTGTTTCCGATAGTCCCTCGGCTCAGAAAGACAATAGCTACACATGTGTTATATATTGTATATTAATTTGGGCTGCATTTTTTATAAAAAAAAAAAAAAAAAAAAAAAAAAAAAAAAAAAAAAAAAAAAAAAAAATTGGGATGAGAAACCAGTTATGCTCATGAAATTGTGTCCAATTTTTCAACTGCTTATCGCACTTGCTATTGGGAATTGGTACAATTTTGATCTCATTCTGCATCTGATCTTTCCAAGAAGCAGCACAAGCAATGGCATATTCAAAGCATGACTACTCTGAATAACACTGAAGGGCCATTCAAACAATTGAAAGGGCATCTTCAAGCTGAAGCAGAGTTGAGCTATGGAAATTACATCACAAGCAATTTCTTGTAATACCCCAGACTTTAGACAGAGTCCCACATCGGCAAAACACAAGAGGAATGTTGAATATATAAAATTAACAAGCCGTAAATCCTAGTGATGCGCTTTAAACCCGTGAGGGCCTAGGCCCAGAGCGGACAATATCACTAACGGGCTGCGCTGTTACATTTCCATTCTTCTTTTTTCCTGATTACATTCTTAGAAGAATTAGGACCACAAGATCCTGTGAGGCCGTGACATTTCTCTGTATTTGATACATAAAAAGTTAAGAGTTTCCTATCTCCTTATGAGCATGTTAGTGAGCCCCACATGATTGAGAGAATAGATCAGTATTCTAGATTTACCCAATGAGGGAATGGGATGTTGTCTCATTATATAATGTTCGTTAGTTATCGCTTCATGAGTTAGCTTTAAAAATTGACTTGGGTCATATTTTGTGCAAGTGAAAATACCTCTACATCTTCTTAGACCTATTGAGTTATCCAACTTGATTCTGTAGTGTGTTTGTCACCTAAAAAACATTGAATAGCATCTTGGAAAACAAATTGCTTTTAATTGTAATATGGCACCCTTTCTCGACTCTTATGTCATCAAATAAAGTTCAACATAATAAGAATCAAGAGATTTCAGGTGCTTAATCAATACTTCAAAAAATCAAAAGCAAACATGTTTAAACATTAATGAATTCCTAAACAGAATCCTCATCATCATTAAGATCTAGATAATATGGGATTATTTCGGGGATCCATTTATCACCTTGGAGGAAGTTGCGCACTGTGAATTTGGAGGCTTCTGTTTTATCGATGACTTTTGACCAATTTACCCTTCCTGTCGTATTAGACCCCGGTCCTCTGTTATTATACTCTGCAAAATATGTGTTTGCGACATCGGGTTTTTGAAGCCAACCTTGGGGGTCTATGAAGTCATCAATAAAACTTGACATAACTACTCCCCTTCCTTGGTTTTTCCATGGTCTGCCTAAGTAACTCTTCACTGCTGACTTATTAAAATCTGGTGCAGGAGTTATTCTACAATTCTGAAGAATTAGCCCTGGATTCGTAGTTATACCGTCTAAACCTGCGGCAATTATTGTAACTTCTTGTCCTGGTACAGGTGTTCTAGCATAAACTACACTATTTTGAAAAATGGCTTGTCCATCACCAGAGATAAAATCTATGGTGCCATAAACTTCGCATTCTCTGAAAAATTGCGCACCTACTTGCGCGAAAATGGTATCCTGGAAACCTTCAAATCGACATTGATAATATGAAGCGAAACCATGAAAAGCTGCACTAGTCAATGCAGCAGATTGTCCAGCTCCTGCTCCTGCGGTATTTCTAATTGTCATCTTCATTCCAGTGAAACCTTTTCCATATACTCCTGTTCAATAAAATTTACCAATGTGACGATAGTTGAAGTCCATAAATTAAACAATGATTTTTTTATTTTCGAATACTTCCTTTAATCAATGTTATCCGTCTCTTAAAATTATTGTACACCTCTTAAAAAAAATACTTTTGACAAGCGTTATATTTAAAGTATTTGTTCAAAAAGTAGCAAAGTCAAGAATTTCCGCAAGAGTGTTCAGACTTGAAAGAGGTGAAAAAAATTCTCCGATAAAGGGTGTTCAGTATATGTTATACACCTCTAGAACCTACTCCATTTTTTATCTATTTACACAGTGTCATTTATTCGACGAAGGGTGGTCAATTGACCATCATTCGGATAATGTAGTTTCGCTCATGCGTCCAAACTACTTTTTACCTTCTCCAATTGCTCATTTAATTAACACTTCACTAATTATAACAATAAGGGATTGTTTGGTACATGAGATAAGGATAATAATTCCGGGATAAAATTTGGAATTAACTTTATTCCATGTTTAGTTTGGGGTATTAGCTAATACCGAGATAACTTTTACACTAAAATGATGGGATTAGTTATGTCACATAGAAAGTGGGATAACTAATCTCGTAGGATACCCACCATTGTACCAAACGATCCCTAAGAGCCGGTAAAAACGACTTGATTGGTGAGTAGTTGATGCGACTGGTAATAGAGAGAGATTACATACCTAATGTGGCTGTACCAGCTACTGAGCTGCCGCTTTTATTTGATGAAATTATGGTGATTCCCATACCATCACCAACAAGGCATATGTTAGTTTTATTATTAGGAACTATGACATTTTCATTGTAAGTGCCTGCTTTCACATGTATAAAGAATAGTGTTGCACTCTGAGAAGGAGCTGCATTTATAGCATCAGTAATTGTTGTGAAATTGCCTGTCCCATCTTGTGCAACTGTTGAATTGAAAGTCATACAATTCCCTGCACTCCACCACAACATCAGCAATATTATTCTGAAAATTCCTATTTCTTTGCCTTCCATCTGGATTTTTCCTACATTAATAGAATAAAATAAAACAAAATTTAAGAGTCAAAAAGAAATTAACAAGAAACTACAAACTAGAGAATTGATAGCAGGTTTTAATAAAGAAAAATTCACTAGAAAATGCTAAGGGGCTAATATATCTCAAATACTATAGTAATTGCATGATTAGATTACTGAAACCATTAGCATCAACTTACCACGAATCACAAAATTCTGATAAAAGGTGGGTGTACTCAAGACACACGTATAATTTACAGATAAAACAAATAATGCATTGTGAAACAATAAATATAAATGTGATAAAAGAAAAACAGATGAAACAGTAATTCATGAAATGTGAATCACAAATGTCTTCATTATATAGGGAGACAATGCCAATTTAGATTATTAGCTCTAAATGGTTTTTAGAATATGGTATAACGGTATAATAGCATATTAGCTTCACATTAAATTACTTACTTAGATGTCAAATTTGCTTCAGATTTAGTTACTATTTTCTATTTGGTACTGGTTCTATGGGGAGAAATTTAAAAATAGCCAGATTTAAAGTGGTCATTCAAAAATAGCCACAGTTTCAAAAGCCATTGAAATTTAGCCACTTTTCATATAAAGATAAATTTGAACGAAAACACTGTTCAAAATCCGGAAAATACTCCAGCATAATATACTGGAACTCCAGTATATTATAGTAGAGTTCCAGCAAAGTATACCGGTCCAGCATAATATGCTGGAAGTTCATACACAGATGCACCGAACTCCAGTATATTATGCTGGACCGGTCTCTGTTGCAGCAAAATAGTGGCTATTTTTCAATGACTTGGCAAACGCAGGCTATTTTTTGAATGACCGGTCTGAAAACTGGCTTGCCCGTTCTATTTATACGTTTTTATGTAATGTCATTTACCTAAAACAGCAAATTGGAAGAAGAAGAAGAAGAAAAAAAAAAACTGGTTACAGCAACCCAGGTAGAAGGACGAAGAGCTAAGGGGTCTAGATTCCCTTCAGTATTAAATGCTCCAGTAATTTTCAATATTCCTATTGATTGAAGCCACGTGTCCCTATGAAAATTCAAATGGCTTGATTGCATCTCTTCTTTCCACCTAAGTAACAGTATTTCTCTCTTTTCAAACAGAGAACAACGATACAGAAACAAAACATATGCTCACTTGTTCAGCCTTGGACGCTCTTCCATTTTCGTCACTAGCTTGAATTAGGAATTTGTTTTGCTTTTTCCAGAGAGCAATTTAGTTGAACTACACCGAGTCTTTTCCTTCTCTTCGTTTTCAACTCCACAACAGCAGAGGAATTTCCTTTATAACAAACAACCTCTTGGAAAAATTTCTAATGCTATGAAACAGCAGATGTTGTAGAGGAAAAGAGTTATGAAGAAAAAGAATGCTTACATGGATATATGGAGGAGAAGAGATGCAATCTAAACTGTGGCTGCTGGATTTTAATTTCTCCCTGAAGGTTGGCTGCAGAAAGTCTAAATTTAGTTTTGTCTTGGCACATACCATATGTTATCTCATGTTGATAAGATAAAACGTTATTTTATCCCTCTTGGAATATAATGTCCAGGTTTGTCTCTGCATCATCATTCTTCATATGCAACTCAAGGAAATGTTGTATGTGCCGTTGGCGTGTCCTTATCCTCCTTCAATTTCGAACTATCCTAATACTGTCCAAAGCCCACTGTCCCACCGTCCTCGGTCTTCTCAGTTCCATTCTGCTCTTGTATCCACATTGGTGGTGAATGTGGTAATATATATTTCGGAGTATATGGTTTTGAACCGTCCTTATCTTTTAGTACCTCATAGGCTAGTTTCTTGATTGAGTTAGACTTAGAGCCCGTTTGGACATCAATTTTTTTCCCTTTTTTCCAAAGAAATTTTAATTTTTTTTCGAAATCAGCGTTTGTTCATAAAATTTACAATTTTCACTTGAAGATGCATTTTGGAAATTTTCGAAAATTTAAAAAACTCCAAAAAGTTATTTTTCAAAATTTTCACTCAAATCACTCACAAACTTCAAAAACAACCCAAACTGAAATTTATGTCCAAACACAACTCTAAATTTCAAATACCATTTTCACTTGAAATTTTTTTTCACCATTTTTTGGAATGTTACAATTTTTATGTCCAAACGCCTACTTAATGTTCATTTTCTTTTTTCGTTTACCAGCCCAATACACTACATCTGATGTTACAATACACAACATTAATAGTTTGGTAAAAACTTATTTGTACCGGTGTTTACACCCGCCTTAGTTAAGTTAACCATAAAAGATAAAGTAAACACCTAAACTAGGGGTTATTCAATTGGACACCTAAACCCGTTCCATGTGTTATTAGATACCTCACTAAGGCCCCGTTTGGCCATACATTTTGGCATCGTTTTTTAAATCTTTTTTGAAAATATTGTTTGTTCACCGATTAATGATCTATTTTTGAAAAATTTCTAAAATTATTTTGTAAGTTCCCAAAATCTAGTTTAGGGGAGATTTTGGGTGAAACTTGTTCTCCCACGCACAAAACTTCAAATTTTTTTCAAATAAAATGCATGTCCAAACATAATTTCAACTTCCCAATTTTTTTTTCCAAAACTACTTCCAAAATTATTTTTTCAAGTTTCAACTAAATCTATGCCCAAACGCTAGCTAAAAATTTCTAACAAAACAAAATGCGTGATTCTCATACGCTATGACATGGCAATATGGCGAATCAATTTGCGACACCTGGACATTTAAAAAAAAATCTCTTTCCATTTTTTTAGGATCTCCCCCCTCTTTTCTATTCTTGGTCGTCGACTACCTCTGTTGCCGCCAGTCCCTGTTGTTCTTCTTCTCCCTATTCCTGATCTTTGTTAATTTTTGTGGATTTTTCTAAATGACGGGATTATTTTCTATTTTTAATGCGATTTGGCCATCTGATTCTTTTTGTTTTATGCCATCTTTGTCACACTGTTTGATGCCAAACTCATAATAGATTAATCTCTCCTAAAACACCACTGATTCATTGCCAAATTTCATTCGTTGACTATTTGATCAATCTCCAAGTATTGCTTTAGTTGAGGGCTTCTGCAAGTTTTGCTAGCAGAGAGTGAAACGAGAAGGCAACAAAAATGTAAGAAAATTTTCAAGAAAAAATCTCCAGTGATCTGTTGAATACCCAATTTTCAGCAACGACAAGACAAAGAACAAACATATAAATGATTTTTTTAGTTGTTAGAATTCATGGAACAACTACTTGCGAGAATTACATATGTACTTAATCGAGAATTCGACCATGTAATTGTTTTTCATGTTTTCAGAAACTCACCATCGCCGTCCGACGAAATGAAGCACTCTAAAGCTCATTTTCTTTCTTTTTCTTTTTCTTTTTGTTTAGGAGAATTAGATCGTATATATGTTGGGTGATTTTGTTTTTGTTAAATTCATGTCAACTGGATTTCAGCATCTTCACGCGCCCAACATAAGTGAGTTTCACTTTTTGTGCCATGTCAGTTCTTTTATCTAATAGACATATATTTATTTTGGTTCAAGTGTTCAATAGGAACAACTATTAAAGTGTCTATGTGAAAAAATGGGCAAGTTTGAGGGGCTGCATATGTATTTTAGGAGTTAATTTAAAAAAAAATTAAAACGAAATTAAATTCATAATCTATATTATTATAAAAGCACGAATATAATGTTGATTTATAAAAATACCCTTTGAATGTTAAATTATCTCATTAATATAATGTACAAAAAGGTAAACTCAATAGATTCCTCTTAAAAGTCAAATAACTCTGGGAGTCTACTTACTTTAATTTCCCTCACTGCAACAATTCTGAAACGTGGAGATGTTGATTTATATATGGAAAAGGGATTAAATTTTTTAATTGATTTAAGAATCTTAAATATTCACAAAACTAATATAAAAGGAAACTTTAGTACTAAGCTCTACAAAAATTTATAATAATTTAAACGAAGTGGAAAGTTCCTATTACCCTTTAAAGTCTTAATTGATATTAGTTCGTATAATGTTAAAACTAAATTAAGTTAGATATATTTTCTGATATAACTTATGTTCNTAAATGATAATTTTTTTAAATATAAACTCTAATTTTAAAAGATAAACATATAGGGTCAAGTTTATATGAATATCTTTCTTTTACTTGGTAATAAAGTGGCTCTAATATTATGGATGGGATTGCGCACTTTAATTTATTTATTTTTTACTTCGGTGTGAGCAAGTGAATCCTTTACAAATTTCTCAAAGCAAACAAACACATATTAGATTAGTTTTCCTAAAAAAACAAGTTTGTCCAAGTCTGCTATATATCGATTTTTAACAAAATTTTCTGTTGATTGGTTTATTTTTACTATTAACTGCTCTTGTGCCATGCATTCTCCAAATTCAAGATTNATATTATTACCAATGTAATGTAGGATGAAGATTGATTAAATATAGTTTTCACAAAAAAAAAATATTAAAACAAAGATTGGATTGGCTCTTTTACAGAAGCAAAAATACATTAATATGTTCATACAAATGTGAAAATCAACTGAAACTTTCCAAATAAATAGGATGTTTGCATAATATAAGATATTGATTTTATTTTGTGAATCATTTTTAAACTATTGTATTTATAAATTTAAGTTCTTTTTGTTTCAAACTATCTGTTTTTTCATATTTAGCTTATTCTAGATAATACATATTGATTTTTATAAAATAAATATTTGTATTGTTTAAGGTATTAGTTTGTTNTCTATTAGAGTACTAGGAGTAAAATTCTTTTAAATGTATCAATTCTTCATATTCTCATCATTCTTGATTATTCTCGATTGTATATATTTAAATAGTGGAGATTTATCTAAAAAGTTTACATTATTTTGACTCAAACGACTTAGAATAAATTTTAAAGTTATCATAAAAGAAAGATGTCTTCATAGTTTTCGATAATACCTTCAAGTAAAAAGATGTGAACTCGACACAATTATTTTGTTTCGTGGTATATTTTTTTATCTTTTAATTTTTTTTAAAATATTTTTATTGGAAGGTGACATTTAATGGTTCTCTTTACGATAACTCTATTATAATGGATATGATGGGTATGGAATTTTTTTTAGGTAAATAGAGAAAATAATATTGATTAATATTTGCTAAGTTCTTATACTTCGAGGAAAAATATGTTTCATGTGACTATCATGTATTTATTACTCCAATAATTGTTCAAACAATTGATAACAATCTTCTCAGCACTGCTATAGGAAAAGATGGCTTATAATGATCTATATGATTATTGTATATTTTATTAATCTTTTATATGGTCAAACAATTGTGAAAACCCTTCTCAACACTGTTATGCTATATGTTAATTTTTTAATCTTAATAGGTACAACATGCAATTATTTTCATGCACGGTTGTGACTATAATTAATGTTTGTTATATTTGAGGAGCCGGGCGACCATTTTGAGTGAGAGAAATACCCAAAAATAAAAATCCTTTGCAATTTGCTAAATAATCAAGGAGTATGTGATGCTTAAATTTTTTAGTCATGGACTTCATTTATCAGAGTACCGTGATATTATAATAACAAAAGTTAGGTGATTATAAAGGTTATGAACATATATATAATTAAATTTTTATTGCTTTAAATATGATAATAAAGCAGTAATAATTTTACTTGGATTATATATGACATAACTTTTCTAATAATTGAGACAACCATATATGTTAAAGTACAGTAGTAAAAAAATAATACGTGTGGAGGTGATTCAATCAAGCACTACAAGTAGTTCCAACAGTATTTGTAAAAACACAATTCCAATAATCAGTGAGTTCTTGCTTTATGTCGAAAACATAGAAGAGCATAAAACAAGAGAAGACTTCGTTGTTCTCCCAGAAATCCAGAATAATTGGTTGTCAAGCGCAACGATAATAGTAATGCTGAAAATTGTTTAATAAGGAAAAAAATTTCATCATTAAATGAAAATACAAGTTCTCCAAATTACATTTTTGGCAAGACAAACATAAAGATCTAAAAGTGGAATGGTAGATCGATTTTTACTCTTTAAAAATAAAATTTATGGTGGATAAAGCTATAATTAAGATTATATATTCAAAACAAGAGATGAACTAATATTAAAAATCGAATCAATATTAAATAAATTATTTTTTATGTTAAGACCAAATAATTTAATCTTTCAGTTAATTATTTATCAAGAGAATTCAATTCAATTAATTTTTAAATTCATCATATGAGTAAAATTATTTTTCAAGTTAAAAAAAATCTTCGGGTACATAAATTTATTTTATAAAAAGAGCGTTAGATATTAAAAAAATTAGAATACAAAGTAAAAAAAGGTTAGTATAGTATTAAGAATTAGAAGGTCATGCAAGTGCCTGAGGAAGCACAATCAAAGTTAAATCATGAAAAAGAGCAAGCTTTCAAGACAATATGATAAAGAATCGATTCTAAAATAGCAGGATTTACCTTTGTAGATGCCTTCGGCGAAATCGAAATAATCTTTCTATGTCATGCATTACTTGCAAATATCAGATCAAGAGGCATAATACGATTAAAATTAATAATATATGGTGTACCCATCAATGATTTTATTATGAGGCCACTCACTATAGATTTGATATAGCTCTTCAAACAACTAAAATAACCATCACAAATATATCAATGCAGAGCAATGGTGCTAAATTTATAAGGAAAGCAAATTGTATAATATGAGACGAAGCGCTTATGGCTAAGTGTCAAACGATTGAAACAATTGCTCGGAGTTCTAGAGACATGTTGTATATCAATAAACCGTTTGGTGGAAAATTAATGGTTTGGGAGGTGATTTCTGTAAAGTACTACCAGTAGTTTCAAAATCGACGAAAGCAAAGACTATAAAAGCTCGCTTGCCAAAATTATGCTTATGGCCTCAAATGAAAAGGATTCAACTGACAAAAAGTATAAAGTAAGAATAGACCCAGTATTCAGTGATTTCTTGCTTCGTGTCAGAAATAAAGAAGAGCATCCGATAAAAGATAATTTGGGTCTTCCATAACACTTAGTTATCAACCCTAATGGTAATAGTAGTGCATTTAATAAGGAAAATATTTTCATCATTACATTAAAACACAATTTGTGCAAATTCCATGATAGAAATTAAAAAGCTATCTTAGCTAGCAGAAATGAATATGTTGATCAACTAATAAAAGGTTGATTGCAAAATCTTATGGTAAAAACAAAATATTTTTCAGTTTTTGACTCAGTGGAAGATGATAGCAACAATTACTACCAAGAAAAATACTTAAATACTTTAATACCAAATGGCCTTTTACCATACGCATGTTACCATACCAGTTGTTGTCAAGTTTATTATTTCTTACGCATGTTAGTATCATCGTATATAAAATAGACTAAGTTAAAATTGATCTTCCATTGCATATAGGTTGATTTTGAAGAAAAATATGTCTTTCGTGCTACTGAAAAACTTAGATCTGTCGAATAGCTTATGTAACATCATACAAAATGTATATAGAAGTTTTGATAATAACGGCAAGCATGCAAAAAATATGATACTGGTCAATGTGCTTTTAAGTATATTTTTATCCCAGAATTCAACTTTTGTCGTCCGAAACTAAAGAATATCCTTTTAAATTTGTGTGAAAATAATTTTCAGTATGTTTATGTTTTGTAATTATAATAAATAAAGCACAAGGCAAACATACTAAATATTGGACCATATTTACCGCAATATATACGTTGCACGAACAACTATATGTTGAACTTTCAAGATGGATATCAATATCGACAACAAGAATTCTGGTTATGGCGGAGCAACCAAAGCATTAGAAGGAAACATACAAAAAAATATCGTCTACAAAGAAGTGTGTAATAAGATACCATCACATTAAATACTTTTAAACTATAATATATAATTATCTACTAACACGAATAAATTGATCATTTGTGTAAGTTCTGATGACGTCCTTTCATTTTGAATAATTTTTTGGCATTTAGATGATTGTTGTATTATTATGCATAAAATTTTACTCATTAATTAAATTTTATTGCTCCTTCATATAAATAAATGTTTAAACCATCACGTGCTATTTTTAACGTGCAACGCACGTTCGTAGATACTAGTAACATAAATATAACGATACAAAATATAAATTTGCCGTCAGCGTGCCTTTGTTATTATCTCATGCGGCTCTTATTTTGGGTTCTCTTTCAATTCCAAGTTCTTCATCGGTCGTTCTCCATCACTCTCCAAGGACTACGGCTGCTTTGGGAGAAAGAATTGGCATATAGCAGGTTAGTTCATACAATTGTAGGAATATGTGCATGTTGAAAAAGAATTCAAGGAACACATTTTGTGCATATTGTAAAGAAAAGAGCAACTTTCATAAACCACTATGTTTTAGTGGTTATTAGCTAGTTGTAGCTACCATTTGCTATATTACTTCCTATAGCTATGTTTTCAGATTTTTTAGAGTGTATTTGATGTATTGAAGCTACTGTATTCATGAATACAGTAGCATTTCTAGGCGTGAAACAAGGGATTACAGCTAGACAAATTTTTGTATTCGACTGTATTCATGGCGTGAAACATGGGATTACAGCTGGACAGATTATTGTATTCGACTGTATTCGACTGTACATGTATTCACGGCGTGAAACAGGGGATTACACTGTTTTTAATCGGAAAGTGAATCAATCAACATAATAGGCTCCTAATATAACTCATCAAACTCAATTAAAACACACAAGTTTTGTATTTTCAGTTAAAAGATTCTCACCGAAAAATACCCCAAAAATATAGCAATCTTCAGAGAAATTATATAATACATCTGAATACATAAATTATATTAATTTAAAAAAATATATGAATATATTCATGAAATATAGCGAGACAGTGAATACAATGAAATAAATAGAATACAGCAAGATACATTGAAATATAATGAAAAAAAAGACAATGAATATAATGAAATACATGAAAATACAGCAAGATACATTGAAATATATTAACAGAAAATTCAAGTTGCTCAGCCCCCAACTCCATCGTCTTTGTTCAAGAACAACCCTAATGTCGTCTTGTTGAAGCAGCATCAGTATCCAGTCATCGCTCGCCGTCACCATTGCCTCCGGTTGCCAACGATTAGCACATAATTACCGGCGAAGTAAAGGAGGTTTTTGTTGATCCGATATGTTGCGTCAGAGAATTTAGCACGCCACTGGCCGTGAAAATCGCCCGCCACTGTGGTGCTGACTCCGCCCAATTTCTCCTTATTGAAGGCGGCAACTCGGCGCTGCTATTATTCTTTGCCTTCCTTGCCCTTGCTGTAATGCTGCCGTTGAATATTCATGCCGGAAAGGCTCCTATGGCTGATCAGATTTCAAAGACTACTATAAATCATATAGAAAAACGTTCTCCTTTACATCGGGAAGTAGAGAGAGGGAGAATAGATATAGGGTAGGGGATAGGAGAAATTTGAGGGGATATGAGAGAGAAAAATAATACAAAACTTGTTTTATGACTTAAGGGTAGGAGGTAACCATAAACAGATATTTGGCTATAAAAATCAAAAGGTAGCTATGGAATATAATTTTTTAAAAGGGTATTTATTTAAAATAAATAAGGTATCAACATTTGTTGTAGGACGAAAAAGAATTACAAAAACATAGTAGCGAAGCCAGAAATTTCTCAGGGTGTTCAAATTTGGGATATAATTAAAATAATCATGTTTGTAAATAGCTATGGTTTTGGAAAGAGCCATACTATATATTTTTTTTTAAAAGTAGCTTAGTGACGTTACCGTTTGCAATATAACAGTGAATATAAAAATATCAATCTTTTTTTATGAGAAATTATATATTAAGGAGCAAGTGCAAATTTTATAATGGTTTAATTATAGTTAACTATTAACATTTATAATTTAAGAACGTTTATTTACTAATTATGATTAATTAAGTGATAACCATATATGTTACATCACATATCATTATGTGTGTAATTTTCACTAAGTTGTAATTTTCTCCTAATTGAACTCCCATTTTAGGAGAAGATTTAATCTTTCATATATATTTTTACTTAAGCTTTTACCAACTTAACCCTGATTGATTCAAGACATTTTATGCATGATATGAAATAAAGTTCTTTCATTTGCTTCTGGGCTCAATGTAAATACGATAACTTGACATTCCTTTGTAAATGTTTGTAAGATAGCAAATATATCTAATATTAAATTAATACACTTTAAAATGTAGAGTTATGATCCATAATGACGGATGAAAAATATTGCCTTAACTCGTGACTAATATTTCTCTTTTAGCTAAAATTTTGTTAATTCCTACAAAGAATCCTCATCCTTTTGTTTAGAAAAAGAACTTTTTATTATATATAGGGGGTAAAGGAAGGAGAAGGGGAAGGGGAAGTGAGGGAGGCTTTACATGAGGAATCGAACCCTCATCATCAAGATCTAGATATAGTGTTATTATGTTGGGGGATCTATTTATCTTTTTTAATTTCTCACCCGGTATTCGGTACCTACATTGGGGCCCGACTAATTCGGATTCGCGCCGGGAAGTCTCATAGTGGGGGTAAAGCGCTCCATAACAAAGGCGACTCCATACCCAGGGCTCGAACTCGAGACCTCTGTTAACGATGAAGGAGTACCTACCACTCCACCACAACCCTTGTTGGTGGGGATCCATTTATCACCTTGGATAAAGTTACGTACTGTAAATTTGGATATTACTTCTCTGTCATTGATGGCGTTTAACCAATTTACCATGCCTATCGAATTGGCCGCTGGTCCTCTGTTATTATACTCTGCGAAATATACGGTTGTACCATCCCATTGAAGCCAACCTTGTGGGTCTATAAAATCATCAATAAAATTTGACATGATTATTGCTGTTGAATGATCTTTCTATGGTCTACTTGTCACCGCCGAATGATTGTTAAGCAATTCAGATGTGGGTGTTATTGTTCAATTTGAAAAATTAGCCCTGAATTCATAGCAGTCGAGTCAAAACCTGGAGCAAGTATTGTGATTTCTTGTCCTGATACAGGTAATCTTGCATAAATTACACTATTTTGAGAATAGGCTTGGCCATCACCAAAGATAAAATCTATGGTGCCAAAAACTTCACATTCTCTGAAAAATTGCACCCCGTATTGCGAAAAAACTGTGTCCTGATAACCCTCAAAACGACACAGATAAAATGTAACGAAACTAGCTCCACTAGTCAAGGCGGCCGCTTGTCCAGCTCCTGCTCCAGCGCTATTTCTATTAGTCATCTTCATTCTGATGAAACCATCGCCGTATACTCCTGTACAACAAAAATTTGCTAATGTAATGACTTCAGTTAATCATCGAAATATTATATTAGCCCATAAGCTAAACAATATTAATAGTTCATCTATAATCATAGTGTTTTGGGTAGCTTTCACGCATTTGGCTATTCCATTTTGTACTAGCTACTTATCCTACTGTTAATTCTATCTACCAAAGTTTAAGAAGATGTAAAAAAATCACCTAGCATTTCTTTTTTTTTCTTTCTTCTCTAATTGGATTTGAACTCTGGTTTTCATGGTTTTCACTCACTTTATAGATCGCTAAGTTGTACTCTCGGGTACTTTTCTTTTCTGTTTTTACTTTTGGGATATAATAAATATAGTAAAATTGAACTCTGGTTTTCATGGTTTTCACTCACTTTATAGATCGCTAAGCTATACTCTCGGGTACTTTTTCTTTTCTGTTTTTTACTTTTGGAATAATGAATATAGTAGAATTGATCGAACTTATGGGAGAGATTACTCACCTAATGTGACAGTGTCATTTGTTCAGAGACCCATACTGGCGCTTCTATTTGCTGAAAGTATTGTGATTCCCATACCATCACCAATAAGTGCTATGTTAGTTTTATAATGATTCATGACCAACAATAACGTTTTCACTGTAATGTCCTGCTTTGACGTGTATAAAGAATGGTGTTGCACTCCCACAAGGAGCTGAATCTATAGCATCAGTAATTGTTGTGAAGTTGCCTGTCCCATCTTGTGCAACAGTAAAATCGAAACTCATACAACTCTCTGCACTCCAACAGAAAATCAGCATAATTATGAAAATTCCCTGTTCTTTGCCTTCCATTTAGATTTTCTTGAATTTCCCTTTTCTTTTCTTGTGTTGTGAGGTTTCTGTTCGAACAAAAAGTCTTGACCATTTTTGTTAGACTAATTAAGTAAATGATGCTGGGTAAATTCTAGTTAGATGTAATAAGTTCTAGATCCAAGGTTAGTAAGAAATAAAACATCTAGAAATCGTATTTGAAGCTATTTGAAGCAAAGAAGTGGTTTAATGATGTTCTTATGAATAAACGAAGCAATGAAGACAAACCATAAATGAAATGAATGGTAACATTTATTTACAAAAAGGACTGATTCACCCAACCGTGCAACAAAGCGGATGATTCTCTTTCTGATAGTGATGTCGGATGGCCAAATGTGTAAGCATCAACCATTTTTTTATATCTCGTGTGGAAAAGCCTGGACCAAAGCAACCCATTGAATGTTCTTTATAGATGATGTTTTGTAGTTGATTCGAACGAAGTCGAATGCTAGCTCTTGTTAATTCGAACAATGTCGAATGCGAGTCGATTCGAGCGAGGCCGAATGTTAATTCTTGTTAATTCGAACGGGGTCGAATGCGAGCTTTTGTTGATTCGAACGAGGTCAAATGCGAGCTGATTCAATCGAGGTCGAATGCGAGCTGATTCGATCGAGGTCGAATGCTAGCTCTTGTTAATTCGAATGAGGTCGAATGCGAGCTGATTCGATCGAGGTCGAATGCTAGTCGCGATTGGCATAATGTATAACCGTATAAACTTGGTGAGATGAGAAATTCGTTTGTATACACAACTTTGCTTTCATTGGAGTTTGCATGTTTTTGTTCTGTTCGTGCATACATTGGAGAAGTCCCAATCTATCTAGTCCCTTCATTGGTCGGCGTGGAGAAGTAGTCGAGAGGCCGGGCAATGAAATTCGTGCTTTGAACTTCGAGATGCCCTCTCCGTTCTATGGCCTCGTCGAGGTTATCTTCTTTTGTCGTTGTTTGACCAGCTTTCATTTGAACATCTTAGGTTGGGCTTACCAACCTCGACCGGTATAATTGCATCAGTCTCGTAGGCGGACGAGTGCATCGTTTCTCCTGTGCTTGTTTTCGGCGTGGTGCGGCATGCCCATAGTACTTCGGGCAGCAACTCCGGCCATGGTCCCTTAGCATTCTCGAGAGTTTTTTTTTGGATGCTCAATATTGATTTATTAGAGGACTCCGCCGGGCCGTTTCTCTCAGGGTGATAGGGTGTGGAAAGTATCTTTTTGATATGCCACTTTTCAAAGAACTCGGTTGTCTTTTTCTCGGTGAACTGTGGTTCGTTGACGCGGCTTATTTCTTTGGGGATGCCGAAGCGACATATGAAGTTTCTGCATAAAAATGTAATTACTTCTTGCTCGCGTATTTGGGCGAAGGCACCTGCTTCCACCCACTTAGAAAAATAATCAGTTAAAACTAAAAGGAATCGTATGTTGCCTCGTCCTGCTGGGAAGGGTCCTAAGATATCCATTCCCCATTTGATGAATAGCCAGGGAGAAATGACTGAGTAAAGGCGATTGCCCGTCTGGAGAATCACGGGGGCATATTTTTGGCATTGTTCGCACCTTTTGACAAAGTCAGCGGCCTCTTTTTTCATCGTAGGCCAATAGTGGCCTACCTATATGAGGCATTTGACTAGAGCTCCGTTGCCAGTATGAGCTCCGCAGTGGCCTTCGTGTGCTTCCCCGTGGACGTGCCTCATTTGGTTTGGTCCCATAAATTTTGCCAGAGGGCCGGCAAACGTCCTTTTGTACAGGTCGTCATTAATGATGTTATGTCTAGTCGCCCGCATTTGCAGCTTCTTGGTTTCTTTTTCTTTATCCGGCGGGAGTGTCTCGTCCTGCAAATTCGGGATAATGAGATTCCACCAATCCCGAGTTAAGTTTGTAGTTTGTACCTCGATTTGGTTGATCGATGAGTGGAGGAGGGTAATCGCGTTCCCTTTCTCGAGTATGCCTTCAGTGGTTGTGGCCAACTTGGCGGGACCGTCTGTCTCGATGTTCTGGGCTCGTGGGATTTGGTCGAGCTGGCACTCCTCAAATCGGGGTAATAGCTTGCGAATCTTTTATTTTGGAAGTCCCTGTGACTTGATTGACGACAAGCCGAGAATCGCAACAGGGACGACCCGTCTCGCTCCGTATTTGAGTGCTGGTTTTAAACCTGCAATCACGGCCTTGTACTCGGCCTCATTGTTAGTCAAGTCTGGGCATCGAATGGACTTGGCGAATTATTTCGCCAGTCAGGATCTCGAGTAAGAGTCCCAGTCCGGATCCTAGGGCATTCGACGCGCCATCTATATGTAGTACCCCTAGGTCGTGTAGTTTGATATGAGTGTGATCGGCTTCCCCTTCGACTTCGGGCATTATTTTTACACTGAAGTTGGCGACGAAGTCGGTGAGCACTTATGTCTTTATTGTCGTTTGTGGCTGATAGGTTATGTCGTGCTCGTCGAGTTCTTCAGCCCATTTGGCCAATCGGCCTGATAGTTCGGGCTTGCCCAGAACACTCCTCAGGGGGAAGGTCGTTGCTACCGAGATGGGGTGGCACTGGAAGTAGGGTCTAAGCTTCCGTGAAGCTATGACTAGAGTTAGGGCCAGCTTCTTGAGGAGTAGATACCTCGTTTCGGCATCGACCAGGGTTTCGCTAATGTAGTATATTGGAGATTGTGTACCTTGGCTTTCTCGGGCTAGGACCGCCCTCACAGCTACGTTAGATGCTTCCAAGTAGACGAGGAACCGTTCGCTGGTTTCTGCTTTGTTGATGGTGTGGAAGAGGTTGGCAGAGGTGTCGGCTATTGCTTTCCTCCTTTCCTCTCCATTTCCTGTCATGTCAGATTTGTGCAAACAAAGGAAACACCAGTTTTTGCAAAGTTTTATGCTTTTTTCTTCTCAGATCTAGAAGAGACTAGAATTTTAACTAGAAAATCCCCACAGACGGGGCCAAATTGTTCGACCAAAAAGTCTTGAACCTTTTTGTCAAACTAATTAAGTAAATGATGCTGGGTGAATTCTAGTTAAATGTAATAAGTTCTAGATCTAAGGTTAGTAAGAAATATAACATCTAGAAATCGTATTTAAAGCTATTTGAAACAAAGAAGTGGTTTAGTGATGTTCTTATGAACAAACGAAGCAAGGAAGACAAACCATAAATGAAATAAATGGTAACATTTATTTACAAAAAAGAGTGATTCACCCAACCACACAACAAAGCGGATGAATCTTTTTGTGATGGTGATGTCGGATGGCCAGATGTGTAAGCATCAACCATTCTATCAGATATAGTGTGGAAAAGTCTGGACCAAAGCAACCCATTGAATGTTCTTTATAGATGATGTTTTGTAGTTACATGGGAATCAACTTCTCTAGAGTTCACCCCTCCGAAATGATGGGATCTCCCTTCTCCCCTCTCTCTTCCTATTTATATGGGATATATCTCTTGCCTACTGAAAGTACAAGTTGCAGAGAATATCCAATTGAATATTCCCTGTTAATAGTCTACTGCTAAATCTAGCCATTTCTTGCCAACCTAAGTGCGTGACTCCGACCTTGGCTGCTCGGCTCGTTTGCGTTGCTTCAGGAGCATGACTTCGGACCAATTGACTTTCGAACATGGCTTGTTCCGTATGTCCTCGACCTCGTCCAGGACAGACTTCTTACGGGGTTTGCTTGGGTCATGCTTAGCCGAGGTGCCCATGACGAGTCACGATCCCACCACTACGGTTTCTCGCCGCACTGAATTTCCTTTGTCGGATTTGTCCATACAGTTTCCCTGTAAATTATAATCGTTCATTAAGAACCACAAAGTACATTAAATCTTGCAAAATAATTATTGAAATTTAGATGTAACGGTATAAAAGATTTTGCTTAGATGGTCAGATTTCATTTTCTATTTGGTTGCTAAATTGATTCAATTAGTGGTATTTACATAAATCGGTGAGTTAGAAAAAGGACGTTCACATAAATACAAACTGAATTCATTATTTACTTTTTTTAAGCATTTTATATAGATTAAACATTGGTTATACAAGGTGATAAACATATTATAATATGAATTGTATAAATATAGATAATTTTAGTTTAAACAATGGGTGAGCAGCTATTTAGATAAATACTTCTTAAACCAACCTCGTTGCAGCGTCCCCAGTTGAAAGGCGAAGAGCTAGTAAGGCTTTCGTGTCATTTGATTTAACATATTGACTATTTCAATTAACTCAAAATCCTAGAAGGACCATGGGTTGGAGCCTCGATAGAAAGTGATCTTACACAAATAATCGGTTGGGTTCATTACTTATTTTTTCTAACTTATATATATAAATTATAAATTAGTTACACATAATTATATATATTAACCATTTATTTTTAATTTAATCGATTAAGTGGACTGTTCTTTAAATTATTCTTCTTGAAAAAAATAGAAAGAGTACTTTTGTCTTGGGATTTTTACCTAGTTATACTATATTAGAAACTTATTTATCAATATTCTTTATGTTTTGTAGTTTTTAATAAGTATCTAGGTTTTCTTACAAATTGTCTAGATTTCTCCTTAAAAGGCTCTCATCTCTTTATTAGTGCCTTCAATTAAGGGATTCAATTTTATCCTTTCCTTTTTTTTCCTTTCCTCTTCTCTCTCCTTTTTTTTACATCAAAATCCCTTAATCTACACTCAGAATCTCCATCTTCTCTCTTCCCACCATTGGCGACAGCTTTATATTATTAAATCATCAATTGCATCGTTCTTTTGTTGGGAGACCGAACAACACTGAAAATGAAAAATATTCAGGGATTGTATGATAACTGTATCATAATTGTACTTGAATTTGTATGAGATATATCAATGCGTAAAACATAATTGTATCATACTTGTATCACAATTGTACTTAACTTGTAGATGGTACATTAATATCCAAAATAATACCTGATACAATACTAATAAATTAATATATAATTATCATATATTTGTGATATAAACTGTGAAATTCATCATGAACTCACAACTACTCATTATTCAGATACAAATTTGATACAATCCCGAAAGTATTCTTACACAACTGTGATACAATTATCATATAACTTAAAACTGATTCTAATCTTAAACTAATACAATATCGTATTATATTTGTATTAGCATTGTATCATACTCCCTCCGTTCTAATTTATGTGAACCTGTTTGACTGGGCATGGAGTTTAAGAAAAAATGAAGACTTTTGGAATGTGTGGTTCTAAACAAGTCAAAAAGGGCCCAGAGTATTTGTGTGGTTATAAAAGCTTCTCATTAAGGGTAGAATTGTAAGTTTAAGCTAAATTGTTACTAAATTTAGAAAGGGGTCATTCTTTTTGGAACGGACCAAAAAGGAAATAGGTTCACATAAAC